CCCTGTAGACTTCTGACTGATTTTGGGTTCCATGCCTGAGTTCTAGAGCTACCAGTGCTCTATAATTATGTCTGTCATCTGCTGACAGCTTTCCAAGTATTTCTAGTGGTTGTCCCTTCAAGCTCGTTGCCAGATATACTGCTTTCTGTTCCTCTGTCCATCCATTCATCTCTGCCAGTAGCTCAAATTGTGCTCTATACGCTTCCCACGGTGCCTTCCCATCGAATTCCTGTGGTTTTTCTCGTACTGGATCACTCATATTTTCTCTCAATTGTTGAAGACTTTCTTCTTGTTTATTTTCTTTCTCCTCCATCCACTGTTGTAGTCTTTCTTTGTTCATTTTCTTTCTCCTCCAACCACTGCTGTAGTCTCTCTTCTTGTTTATTTTCTTACTTCTCCAACCACTGCTGTAGTCTCTCTTCTTGTTTATTTTCTTTCTCCTTCAACCACTGCTGTAGTCTCTCTTTTTGTTTATTTTCTTTCTCCTCCAACCACTGCTGTAGTCTCTCTTCTTGTTTATTTCTTTCTCCTCCAACCACTGCTGTCGTCTCTCTTCTTGTTTATTTTCTCGTTCTTCTTGTTTCTTTTCTTTTCTTCCAACAACTGTTGTAATCTCTCTTGTTTATTTTGCTGTTCAAGCTGCCACTGTTGCAGGTTTTCTTGCCACTGCTTTAATCTCTCTTCTTGTTTCTTTCTTTTTCCTCCAACAACTGCTGTAATCTCTTTTCTTGTTTATTTTCTCCTTCTTATTGTTTCTTTTGCTGTTCTTGTATTGCTGCCATCAAATCTGCTAAGCTGTAGTTTGATTTGCCACTTCTCATTTCCATTTTTTTCCGTCCAACTCTCTGACACCAATTTGTTACGTTTCTGTGTTCGTTTGTTAATTTCCCGTATAATTTCTTTCGGGTGAATCTTTAGCGATACAAGTCCTTTATTAAATAAAACTAGTTTATTCTTTCTCAATACAAATTGCAATACACTTAATTTCCACAGTCACTTTAACTTAAACACACGCTATAATTCCCAACGATTCACGCACTTTACTTAAGGTCACTACCACGCTTGACTCAATTGTCGGTCTCTATCTCTGCCAGTCTGCAATTCCAATTCAGATTAATTGTCTCGCTTTATCTGGCGCACTTATATACAAGAATAGAGGGCGCGTAGACATGACTAGAGTAGCCACAAGAAATATGATCCTTCTAGAATCTCATGACGTGTTACTAGCGTTACGTAACTTCCGCTGTCGTAACAATACTAATAATTCAAACTATGATAACCCACATGCATAATATTGCACTTATCATAATTAAAATCCATCTGCCATTCATTTGCCCACCTCATTAAATGATCTAAATCCTTTTGTAAATCAGCAGCATCCTCTTCACAGTTAGCAATACACAAGACCTTAATATCATCAGCATATTTAACTAATTTATTGACCATACCTTCATTTATGTCATTGACATAAATACAAAAAAAAAGCAAAGTATTTATGATTGAGACCTGAGGTACCCCACTTGTGACATTAATCCAGTTTGACTGAACTCCATTTGTAACAACACTCTGCTTTCTTCCATCCAGCCACTCTTCTATTAGCTAACTTATCCTCCACACCTAAGGAGATCATTTTTTACAAGCCTTTTATTTGGTACCTTGTCAAAGGCTTTCTGAAAATCCAGATACACCAAATCTACACACTTACCCTCATATAAGCAATAATAGGCCTACAATTACTGGGACAATTGTTATTACCTGTCTTGAAAAGAGGAGTAACATTTGATAACTTCTGATTCTTTGGCACCTGCCCACTCTTCAAGGACTTAGGAAAAATAGTAGTAAGTGGCTCACATATTCAATCCTTAACGGTAAAATTAGATTATTTATTATCTTATGCCGAAATCATTAACTATGAAGGATTTTTTCCCTTTGTGTGTCATGAATAGCTGAAGTAGTAACTGATTCCAATTCCAATTTAAATTTAATAAGTCTTTTGTGTGTATGTTCTTCAAACTCAAAAGAAATATATCAGTGTGTATATAGTATTTATTATGTACCCTTTGCAAAAAATGCTGTGCGTGTGAAATTTATTGATATGTTTAATAATCAAATCCATTAAAGTTTGTATGGTTTATAAGGAAAGCAATATGAAAATATTCGACATTTTTTGATAAAATAAATCCAATAATGTCTATATTGTTTATAATAAATGTATTTTGAAAATTTGTAACTTCTTTTGTGTTTCATAACTTTGTGAACATGTATATGAAACCGAGAATTGGTACGTTCTTACGAGTATTCCCCATGAGTCAAATGACTTTGTGCGTGTAAAACATATGTATTTTGTAGTAATTAAGTACTATGTTATTGCCAATGGGAGCTGAAAACATTTGATAGCATTATGATTTAAGATGATAAAATAATTTAATTTTTAAGAAAAACTTTCTCGAAATTACTTTTAAAAGTGTTTTTCTCTTTCTTTCTATATCATTAATTAATTAATTCTGCCCACCTGAAAGTTAGTTTAAAATTTAAATGAGTACCGATTCAAGTCCAGGGTGTACGTTGTTTGGAGGGCACCAACAAAAGTGTGTAAGTATTATTATTAATATTATACAGTAAATTATGACAACTTTGCTGACTGGCCCTATGTTTTTTATCCATTCACTTAATAGTTCTTGCTTGAGCTAGTCAACATTTGAGTTTGAAAACATCCTGAGTTGTTATTTTGTTTCATAGTTCATTAATTGTTCTGCTTTAAAATATTACTTATTAATATTAGGTCCTCTGCTTTGATAACTTTGTTTTCTATCATTTGTATTTATATACATTTTATGTTTGTACACAAATTGTAATGAATGTATCAATAGTCCACGTAAAAAATGCAGTCAACTTATAATAGTTTTATGATAGGGCTTTGTGGTTTTGGAAGTAGATATTTCAAATATTATTTTAACATAGTAACTGAAGTAACCGTTTGGTCTTGAAAGTTCAAACAGAATGTTAATTGTAAAGTTTTATATGTACCAAAAGTGATATTAAAAATACTTCTATTTCTAACTTTGAAATTACTAATTATAAAACGTGTATAACCACAAACAAACTGTAAGTATAACATGCTACAATCATGCAGCATAGAGTATTTGCATCCAGATTGTTTATTAATTGTCAGAAACAGAAAACATATTGTATTTATAGGTTCACTGGTACACATAGCAGGCTTCAAAATCTTTACTTTTTAATGCATTAGTAAATGGCTGCTAGTTATTTATTTCCCCATCAGCAAATTTAGGATATGCTACTGGTAGCAACATTACTCTTTCTAAAATTAACTGTAACTTAATTTTGCATATGTTAAATGATAATAAATAAGTATATATCCTACTTATATGTAAAAATCACCTGTTTCATATTTTATTTTCAAATATTTTACATGACAGTTTTTATTTTAACTATTTCACTAAAGTTAAAAGATGCCCAGTTTACAAATAAATTGGTGTATGTAGGTCACAAGAACCTGGAGTGATAAAGTCTACAGTATTCAATTGCTGACAACCCCCTGTGCTAAAAAATGTATCTTATTATTAAAATCAAAACAATAGGTACATTTTAAGCACTATTCCAGGTGTTTCTGTATGTATACATGTAATACGTAGCTTTATTAAAGGTTTTGCCAACATAATTTTTGCATTTTGGCCTGGACATGGTCCAGTATTTAGTATGCCAGACTGTGGATCAGAATTTAACATTCATACTGTAGTATGTTGCTGTATATTTTCTTACATTTTGGATGCATTATAAGAGTGAGAACCATGTCATTATAGATGGCAGGTGTGCTAGTCACTGGTTGCTCCCTCTCTGGGCAGTAGTTCAAAATTAGGAACAACTATACTTAAACCTGACAGTTTAGCACTTGTGCTGCACAAAATGTTCTGGTTCAAAATACCAAATGTTCATAATCTTTATTTCTTGTTGTTGACATATTAAGATCAATAACGTAGTATAAAATGAATATTTTGATATATAGCGATATTTTCACTTTAAGAAACGTTGTACAAATTCATTGTTTAAATGCAATTAAATATCATGCATTTTTAAACAAAATATTTTAAGATACTAAAATTGTGTGTATTTCATCTCGCTTATCCCAAAGTAATATAGGCAGTAACAATTTGGCTAAGTTTTACTACTGAATTTTAAAAGTTGTGAAACATATTGCTCTAAGATTTGAATAAATAAGTTACATCAACATTTACTCCATTACATTTTTAAATTCAGTATCTTAAATTTTGTTTTTTTTATTTCAAGCTTTTTGTCATCATACTCAGTAAACACTGTGAATGTCAATGCATGTAATTTATTCAAACGTAATTACCTACATGTCATTAGTCTTAAATATCAAGTCCAAGTTTGATAGTTTTAGTGATCTATGACTTATGTAATATTAAAAATAAGTATATTTTTGCCCATCTCCTCAACATTTCTTTAGTGACAGATGGAGTACTAAGTTATAGTTCAGAATAAAACCAAAGTAACTAAGTATGGTAGTAACAGCTTGTGCTTCAGAATGTTTTATAGGCAATTATTGACAAATACTAATTTAGTCACATTAGTATTAGAGCTTACATAACAATATATTAGTGACCCATACTCAATTAACATCTGTTGCCAAGTAATTATGAAAAAGTCTCACTCAATAGAAGGTGTCTCCTCTTACTGAATGGCAGTTGTCATCTAAATGTAAAGAAAGGTACTTCTACCTATTTTGCCTATGTTTGCATCATTCAGCTATTTTAAGTGTTCCACTGTTGTATGAGGCCATGGTGGTAACTAGCAAGTTGTTAAGAGAAAATGACCTTATATCAATGTATTTTTATCCTACCTTCAAATGGCACTAATTTTCTGTCCTGCATCTATTTGGGCAGTGGATTTAGTGTGTTCTTTTTGTATAATTGTATTTAAGGAATTAAAAAAATAATGGTATATTGTGCAAATTTCCAATCTATTCAACGGACTACAGGTTGGGAGGTTTATAAATTCAACCAGCAAAAATACTGTTTAGAAAACAGTTAACATACTGACACTGATCAAATGTGGAAACTTTTTAAGGATAAATTTCTAAATGTTCAAGATAAACATATTCTTTATAGAAAGAAAAGGATGGCTGCAAGTAAAAAACCAGGTTGGCTCACAAAGAGTATAAGAGATGAAATTAAAGAAAAGCTTTGCAAATTTAATAAATTTAAATTGACTAGTATAACAGAAGACTTAGAAGATTATAGAAGATCAAGAAAGTTGGTCAAACAGGAAATTAGGACATCAGAAAGGATGTATGAAGAAAGGTTGGCTGAAAATGTAAAAATTAACAGTGAGGATTTCTTTAAGTACATTAAGGGTAAACAAAATGTTAGGACCCTTGAGGGATGATAAAGGAAGGCTTATATCTGATGATTATGAGATGGCTGGATTATTAAATTCTGCTTTTTCTGGCTGGATGGAGGAAAGCAGAGTGTTGTTACAAATGGAGTTCAGTCAAACTGGATTAATGTCGCAAGTGGTGTACATCAGGTCTCACTCTTAAGGCCTTTGCTCATTTTGATTTACATCAATGACATAGATGAAGGTATGGTCAATAAATTACTTAAATTTGCTGATGATATTAAGGTCTTGTGTATTGCTAACTGTGAAGAGGATGCTGCTGATTTACAAAAGGATTTAGATCAGTTAGTGAGTTGAGCAAATTAATGGCAGATGGGTTTTAATTATGATAAGTGCAATATAATGCATGTGGGTTATCATAGTTTGAATTATTAGTATAATTTGGATGAGAATAACTTTAACAGTGTCATGAAAGAAAGAAATCTTGGTGTAATGGTTGATCAGTCTCTTAAACCACCCAAGCAGTGTGGTGTTGCTAGTGGTAGGGCAAATAGGATTTGAGGTTGTAACTACAGAAATAGTGAATACAATTCTAAAGAGGTCATTATATAGGTCACTGGTTAGGCCACATTTGGAGTATTGTGTTCAGTCTTGGGCTCCTTACCTTAGAAAGGACATTGAATTGTTGGAAAAGATTCAGAGGAGGATTACTAGAATGGTGCCTGAGATGGGTTATTCTGTGAGGAAAAATTAAGACCTCTGAAATTTTCTTTTGCAAAAGAAGAGTTATAGGGGACCTGATTGAGGTATTTAAGATTATAAAAGGAATTGATAGTGCTGATGTATCTTCTTTTTTCACACTTAATGGCAATAATAGTAGGACTATGTGACACAAATATAAATTTTGGTAAGGTAGGAGTCACCTTCAGTTGAGACAAGTTTTATTTTTCAACAGGATGCTCGGATGTTGTAGAGGCAGTAAATTTAAGTGAGTTTTAAAAGAAAGCTTGATAACTGTATGAATGATAAGGGCTAGCTTTAAGATTTGCATTTATTTATATGATAGTTTAGTTTAGAAAATGGGACAGCTGAGTTGGACCAATAGGTCCCCTGTTGTCCCTAAACATTGTTATGTTAAAAGTTTGGAGATGTCTTAAATGGGTAATGAAGAAAACTTGATTATAAGTGTACAATGTTTCGACAAGATTTATGTCATCATTGGGTACCTGAAGCTGACATAATCTTGTCAAAACACGGTACACTTATAATAGAATTTTATTCATTACCTATTCGAGTGATTTACAAAATTTTAATTTCTAAAACGTAGGTTCCTTGTCATCAAAGTTATCATACTCTGACTGCTGTTCTATGAATATAGTAGCAGATTATCATATGAAAGACAGTAAAAATCATTATCGTTTATAGCATAAGTTTGCCAATAAACTGAATTAAGTTATTAATTTTTATCTTTAAAAAATGCAGTACAAGATCACTTTCTTATGTCAGTTTGTTTTAGTTGCCAACTTAAGAGTAGAAGAGTCTATGAAGACTGTGTAAGGACACTAGCTAGAACTGGGCAGTTATCTTAATTAATAATTCAATTATCTGTGAGCATAAATCAGATTGATTACTTTCACATACTATAATCAATTAATCAAAATTACAAATAAATTAACTTATATTACAAAAATAATCAGCTAGTATTTCTGATTATTAGTTGCCAGTTATTTCAGCTATTCATTAATTGAAATATTGCCATTACGATTTTTCATTATAATTTTTTGTTCACTGTAATTGATTAGTATTATGACTCATGAAAATAATCAAGTAGTTAAAATTATTGTTTCCAATTATAACTATTTTTGATTATTCTAACTATATAAGTGATTGAAATATTGCTACACAATTGGTTATCTGTACTCTGTCCACTGCACATATCAAAATCCAGTTTGTACCATTACACCTGCCCCGTTCAAGCCACAGACTTCTTGCTCTTTCTACCATCTTGGTATTATGACCTGCTTCCTTTTTGTTATTGCCAGTGGTCATTGTTCAGATATCTATGCTATTGATACTTCTATTGATACACTCCATTCCACCTCTCTACATGGTATATTTTTTCTTCCTCAGTCTCCAGCCCCTTGGGAGGGTGATCATTATTTCTCTCCTATCTCCTTTGCTTCTATTTCACACCTCTATGCTTGTTACAGACCAGCTCCTATGTCTGTTTTGGACTGTTCAGTGTTGCTGGGCACAAACTTCTTTTAGGGGTTTCCCACCATCATCTACTTCTACCTTGGGACCCCTCTCCATACAAGGAATTCTCACCTTCTACCCTTACTGGTTGGGTCTGATAGCTCTCCTGGTTAGTATATTTCTCTCTGGATGTTGATGCTTACAGGCTCGTTCACATTTCATTGCATCTTCTTCATCTCCTGGTTCACTCTCTTATTTCTCATTTTTGCTAGCCCTTGAATGAGATCCTCCAGGTGGGCATGTAGCTAACTCCTCCCACATTCTTTGTTCACTATTTTCATCATTGGGCTGTTTTGTTTCCTGCAGGTTTTGACCCCCCCCCCACCTCACTCGGGTTGCCATTGTTCAGTTGCCTCACCATCCTTGAAATGGGTAAGTATGTTTTCTTTTTTTTCCCTTTCCATGTAACAGTATCTGACCAGGTGGCTGGTGTATTCTCCCATGCTGTGCTTATTTCTTAAAATCTTATTTTGATCAGGGGTAACAGAAAGCACTCAACCCATCCGCTCTGGCCCTAACAATGCCCACTGTTGAGATGGGATGTTCCACAAGACCACTAAAACCTTGTGATATACAAAATTACTCAATTGCTTGATCTAGACTGTACCATTCTATGGAGTATCATGGAAAAAGCTTGCACCAGAGAAGTGACTGCCTACTTTTTTGGCTTGCATTTGCCGGCTTTTAAATATAGGGTTTCAAGGTCTCCAATTCTACCAGTAAAAGATTCTACCAGTAAAATATCTTTCTGGCAGACATCTGAAGGGGGATACAGGCATTTCTCTAGGTCTCCCTAATGCAAATTTTCCCCTCCTTCTTCAAGTGTCCTTGTCACTTACCAGTTTCTAGCCTTTGTAATGGTGGACATTAAAGAGTTCCTTACTGATTGATCTCAGCACAATATTGTGAGAAATAGAGTGATGGTGACACTGTCAGTATAATACAGGTCACCTTTCAAACAGCTAATGTGTCCTCCTCCTGCAGCCTGAGTCTGTCCATTTGAGTTGAGGTAAACACACCACATATGTCTGTTCGAACCCTAACCTATTGGATCGCCAATCTCATGTGAAGGTGCTCAGATGGTCATGTTCTCATTCTGTCCATCCCTGCAACACTTGGGGCTTACTTGCCTGTCCTCCTTAACATTCTGGGAACGGAGAGAATACCCTGGTGGAGATGAGCTACGATCTCCCATGAGTTTGTCTCTATGAAGCCCCAGCCATCAGGTGTCATGTGTTTCCCTTTAGGCATTTTTCAAAGAGAGCTCAACTAGGTTTAATGCCACACCAGCCCTTCCACCAATTCAAAGTGGGATTCTAACTATTTTGTGTGTAGAAGTGAGGTATCATCGCAGAAGTTAACATTTTCCTGATATCACCCATCCTAGGCCCGGCATGGCCAGGTGGTTAGGGCACTTGACTCGCAATCTGCAGGTCGCGGGTTCAAATACCCATCACACCAAACATGTTCACCCTTTCAGCCACGGAGGTGTTATAATGTGATGGTAAATCCCACTATTTGTTGGTAAAAGAGTAGCCCAAGAGTTGGTGATGGGTGGTGATGACTAGCTACCTTCTCTCTAGTAGTACACTGCTAAATTAGGGACGGCTAGTGCAGATAGCCCTCGTGTAGCTTTGCACGAAATTTAAAAAACAAACTCACCCATCCTCCCCACCATCCATCGCACTTTCTTTATGCATCATCTAAGAATAAAACTATTTTGATTGAAAGTGCTTAAGGGGAGTTACTGAGCATGGAGGTTGTGTTGCCCTCCTATTGGTGGAGGACAGTTATCACATAGTGTTGTCAAACTGCACCAGTACAGTTCATATAAACATGTGAATTTTAGGTGGAAGTTAGATCAAAGCTAATGGAATACAAATTTCATAGGCAGACATGTGAGGGATATAGACGCTGTGTGTATAGAGGACAGTATCTGTCAGAAATACCTTTTCAGATTAGGAAAATGATAATATTAATCCCACTTGTATTGTTTTTATAAATATAACTTAATCTTTTTATTTATTTTGAGAAGCTTTTTTCAGTTAGTTAAGAAAAATTAATAATCTGTATTTTTATAGATTCCAGCATGAAAATTAACACATTCAAGTGAAGAGGAAGAGAATTTAACAGTTTAGTCTCAAAATAGTTTTATATATATATTATTTGTTTCTCATAATGGAATTCCTTAAGTGTTTTCAAATGTTGATTATGATCACCTCTGTGTTATAAAAGTATTTAATATTATGAACATAATTTAAAATATAAATGTTTTCATGTGGTGTAAGAGAAACAAGTTTTTGTCTTCTTACACCAGTCAGTAGTGATGTAGTGGTAGCTTGATTTGAAATTACATGTAACCTTTATTTAAAACAATTTAAAAATACAGTATGTATAACTGCTTTCAAGACAAAAATAAATTATTGTAAAGTTTATCACAGAAAAAATGGTGTTATAGAAAGAAAAATTGTGAGTAATGAAGGTTACTTTGTAAAACCTTAAAAATCAATTTAAGAAGAAAATAACACTGCTTTATTTTTAGGAAATAATCCTTGGTGTTCGATATACTTCAGCAACTCTTTCTATAATTGGATGGTAAGTTTCATTCAACGTTTTGTGATACAGTTACTTGTATATATATTTTTTCTTTTATTTGTAGCCATAAAAATAAATAATTTTCGATTAAAATAATTTTCGATTAAAATAGAAGTATAAATCCTGAAACTATGTAACCATTTATCTTACTTGATGTTTAAATTATTGTAGATATGTTTAATTCAGAAAAAGTTTTTCAATCGGCAAAGTTCACATACAGTATTTGGATACTATTTAAATCATCAAGCTAAATTCTAAGATGTTTTTGCTCCCATAAGTATTCTACTTCCAATAACTGGAAGACAGTATGAGGAAAATTTAACTCGTTGAACTCTAACCATGACTGTCTTTTGAGATATTTTGTAAGCATGATATAAAATTTATATAGAAGTACTGATACTGAACATTGTGCAATTTACTTAGCATTTCTGGTCACCAGTGATATATTTTAATTTTGTAAATGTATTTATTAAAAGAAAATGAATTTACTGTTTAAGATTGTGGTGTGATGTAATTTTAATTTTTTTTTCTTAGTCTCTTCATTGTTGGAGTGATATGGCTTTTCAAAAAGTATGAAGTTTTTGCACAGGTAATTTGAAAAGAATGAATATAGATTTTTCAGTGCTAATAAACTTTCAAAGTGAAGATTTCATAAGTGTAGAGAAATATGATTCAGTACTTTTTATATTTTTTTTAATCATTTATGTTTATTAGTTAGGAATGTAAACAGTTTGTTTTGTTTAAATTTCATAAACCCAGTTTGGGAAGAACCATATTAAAACAAATGTAGATGTATATCAAAATATAATGTACCTTTTAGTTTTTTCTCACTAGTTTGATTACCATATGTACATATATGTACAGGTATTACAACAGAATTATGTTGAAATGAAGTATAATAAATAAATAAATGCTCGAGTAAAAATTACTTTTAGATTACTCAGTTTAGAGTACAACCAAAAATACTGTTGACTTCAGCTAACTCTTCAACAGTTGTTAAACTTGTTTTTACATAGTTTGTACATAAACCAAAAATTCAAGCTGATTAGCCAAGGAGATATCCATTGTTAAAACAAAGTAACTTTTCAATCTGATGGCCTCCATATTGGAACATGTTACCTTAAGTTCAAATACAAACTTTGTATTTTTCTTGGTGAAACATTAGTTTAGAATCTATTCATTTACATATTTAACCTAAATGTCATATTTAAATTAAAACACCTTTTCTCTTTATGTTCAAAGCTTTTATCCTGGGCATAGATGACCAGCTGATAGTACAATAACTGGTTACTATGTATAATGACTTGATAAAGCTTTGTATGGGCATGAAAACATATTAATAATGGTAAATGTTTTTGCACTGAAATTTGAAGAACTCGCTTACTAATAAGTAGTGGTTAGCCAAAGTTATCTTTTTATTTTGTTTATAAAATACTTAAAAGATTTGGTACTTGTAACTTTTTGTGTCAGTCATGAAGTTAAGTGATTTTTTATGTTATTTATTATGTAATTCATTGTTTTAATCAACTTTGATATATTTGTATGTATTTTACATAGGACTCCCCATATCACACGCATTCATGCATTACAGAATCATATATTACATCATAGGTAGGTCACAGAAAATTCAGGTTTGATGAGGAAAGTTGCTTTTGAACTGCTTTGAATACTTACAGAAGAATAGTATAATAACATATGTGGAAGAATAAAAGTGTAAAAGATATATTGTGTGCTGTGCTAAAATAATAAAACTTAGCATCAGGATTCATATATTCAGAAATGCTACTCCAACATTCCACAGAACAGATAGCTATTATCTCAAAACCACCACCAAGCATATGAATGAAATTCCCACCCTTACACCTAATAACCCTGTGCTGTTCCAGTCTATGATGCAACCAGCATTAGACTATAGCCCTCCAACAATAGAAGGGGAAAACATCCTCAATATGCAATATTGTGTATACCAAAGGTTCAACACTGCTAGTAATTCAGATATATTTTTCATCACAAATTATGGAATTTGTACACTTATTATGTTGAACTTTTAGTTCTCATTTGAAGTGTTCTCTTTCTTACCTTTATTTTTGCCCCCCAGTGGCAGAGTGGTATGTCTATGGAGCTACAACACTAGAATCCGGGTTTCAATACCCATGGTGGGCAGAGCACAGATAGCCCAATGTGTAGCTTTGTGCTTAATTACAAAACAAACAAACAAACCTTTATTTTCTTGATTTCAAGTAAGAGAGATATAAAATTGTATTCATTTCCAGTAGAACTTCTGAGACAAATTATTATCTTTTCTTACATTAATTTGATTTCTTCAAATTATGAAATTTGGGGCATGTTCCAGAGTGTGTGATATAGTTTATTTTTGACAGAACTATTCTCCATTGTTATTCATCTAATTTTTGTGTTTTAATAATTAATTGAACTTTTCATCATTACAAAAATGACCAAGGCCTACATACCATGGACATACTAGACCCACATAAAAAAACAACCTTTTTGTCACTCTCTCTTTCTCACTATCTTGGATCTTATTGGATAGAATTTCTTAAATCTGAATTTCTGAAACCTATCGGTTCCAGATTCTTCTTCATAGAAATTGTATTGTTTTCTTCTTTTACTTCAATTTTGTATGTTGGGGTTTGGGAGAGTTTCATGCATGCATCTCAGCTCATAATGTCTATTTTCTGCTTCAGCTATTGCACAGTTCACATTTTTGATTCTTGGATTTACCTTATTAAGATGCCCTGTTTTCTGCAGTCTAGCTCTTTTTTGTTTTTTCTTAGTGTCCCCATTTGACACCATTCTGTTATCATGGGCTCTGTGATCAGTAGCTTCTGAAACCACCTCTCAGCTTTGTTCCTGTTGAACTTTGCCACCAATGGACTCACTTTGCAGGAGACCCTTGAGTCCTACATGGTTTCTCTTTAGAATTTTTTATGTCATTCAGGGATCTTGCCTGTTATTTTCTATTAAGTTCTGAGGGCATTCACACAGGGACTGCACTCATGGATCTGCATTTCCACCACTCCCTGGGCATTTGGCATCTTCTATCCTTGTCTTCGGAAGCATACATTTGCTATGGACCTCACTTCTCCTTTGGAAGTCTGCTCATTTAGGTTGTCTGGTCAGGCTCCTAACTCATTACTGACTCCCATTCAGTATCTGATTCATTTGATAGTCTTTATCACCTCAAGTGAGCTCAACCTTTACATTTTCAAGATATGAAGCTTGTAGTTTCCAAGGATCTCATATATCCTTTTCTTACTGTGTATAAGGGTTTTTATTACTCTACATAAATTACTCTTTTTATGTCTGTGTGTGTATGTATGTGTAAATATAGTAACTAATACAGAGCTGTTATAGTAATAAAAGCCTTACAGTTTCTTCTTCTACCACTGATTGTCTACATCAGTCTTTTTTGTTACCATTAATTGTCATGGAGTATGAAGGCAGCCATAATAGATTATTTAAACATTAGCAAGGTTCCCACCTGAATGGGATGTAAAGGCTCTTGACAAGACTTGTTCTCATCTTCCCAAAACAAGTTCATGGAGTATCATTTTACTACAGCCTGAAATTCCTGAACAAATTACTAGTTAGAGATAAGCAATATCCATTGAATTACAAATTATATTACTTTGATCTTACAAATTTTTGTACATTACTAAAATAGTCCTTATGACAGTAGTCATAGAAGGAATACATTATACCCTGAATATATTATGTCATTGGCATGTTCGTGTAGGAGATATATGAAAGATGTCAAAATGAAAACAAACAGTTTAATTTTTTTAGTAAAGCTTGGCAGTTTAAAAATAGAACAAATCTGTACAGTTCTGGGGAGTTATTATTTTTATTTCATATCTATAATTATATTTATTCAATTAATTATCTGACAGAATGCATCTATAATTTTCTTCTATTTCATAATAACATTATAAAACATACATGATTAAGTATTGGTTATTGATAGATTATATCTCTAAGAGGCAAGTAGAATATCATCAGTACCAGTTAAGGAAAACCTATATAAAGCAAAATATGGATGATAGTGTATAATATCTATAATTTGGAGATGATAATAAGTTTCAGAAAAAATAAATGAGTTAAAAAAATTGAAACATGGAATCTTTCATTGACAGTAACTAATAATATGTAAGAATTTCTGAGAAAACAGTACTATGTATCATTCAATAATATTTGTAGAAATAGTTGAACTTATACTAGTGAATACACCATTTTTACATAATATTCTATAGTTTAATGCATACATCATGTTTATCTAATAATCTATAATTTATTATTACAGATATCTGAGTAATATATTAGGAAAATTTATTATTTGTGAAGCAACAAACAAAATGTTAGGAACAGAAAAGAATAAAGATTGCAGATAAATTAGCATACACAACTTGATAGAATTGGATTAATAATTTTGGCATTGTTTTGAAGCTGTGGGCTTTCAGACCATGGTATGGTATTGAGGTCTAGATATTAATTACTATGGAGATTGTGTAATGCTAGTATTGTTGGGTATGGGTAATGTATTAGTGTTTGTCATTGCATTTAAATCCAAGAACTATACCAGAATGAAAATAATGTAAGTACTTTTCATAAACATTTTACTTAGTAGCAATTTTTAGTTAATCTAATAAACAATATTATGTAAAACCAAAATGAAAAGCTTGACACTTGAGAGGTGTGATACTATAATGCAGTATCACTGTAAGTGATGAACATGTTTGCATATAATAACATTTGTCTGTACCATTTACCTTAGACTCTATGAGTATGATTGTACGTTGTGAATGTGCAGGAATAATGCAACTATAAACTTAATGGATGTTTTGTCAGCAGGTCTGATTTCATGTATGAAGTGTCCTGTATGTATAATTAGAATTTATAACTTGGGTATTTGCAAGTATAATCTGGCGATCTTGTGACCAAACAAAACTTGCATAAACATGATAATATTTTCTGTTATGATTGATCAATAAATGTATGGTCACATTAATTCAAAGATTTCAATACTTTTGATATAGATTAACTTCATATGCATAGTTTCAAAGCATGTGTGAAAGTAATACAGTATGCTCTGGATCAGTGGATGATTTTAACTTGTGCAATCATTCTTTAGATAACAGTAGTATGAGTTTACTATAGTGTACGGTTAGCAGCTGAAAGTTTTGTGCATGTGTGCACACCAGAAAATATTGCTTTCATAAATATTTGAAATATGAGAAACATGCTTGTTAAAGAATATTCCAATTTACAGCATACTCCTTCTGTGTATTAAAAGTCAAAACATAATAATCACAAATTTTAAAATCTATAATGTTGCTTATGACGTAATAACCTTTTTGTGAGTTAAGTTAGTATTAAAAATGTGATCAGTACGCACTATCATAAACAAATGGATAAACTACCTATATTGTGTATGTTCTGATAAAGTATCAATAATTCAAGAATAGTGTGAACATTCATGTTGAAACTTTGAAAGATTATATTTAAGAAAACTGTGATTCTTAACATAAAGCCTGTGTGTCGTTATCAAACAATATATGAATAATATTTCATGTGGAATAGGTAATTGTTCAATGATACATAGATTAAACAGTCAGGGAAAAAATAATGACAACTTTTGAAGACCTTTTGAACAGCCCAAGGTACATAAGTCCATGTAAGGTCCCTATGAATGACTTCCAATTTGTATTTGAATCATGTGCAAATGGCATATTGAATTTAAGGCTGGTTGCTTTGTCTTGATAGAGTAATGCATTATTTACATGCTGTCTGTATTCCTTCTGGCTCATATATTACTTAATTATCTTATTTACAGTTCTAAGGGAGATTTCTACATTAGCTGCAATTGACTGCTGTTTAATTTCCTTCACTATTTCCAGTGGACAACTTGTAACAGATTGTAAAGTAGCATGTGTCTTCCCTTGCTTCACTATTATGGTTCAGCAATACAAATATTTGTTTTTGTGAAACATGAAAACTTCATAACTTCATGCATTACATCTTTTTTTATAATTATCGAATACAAGAATTTTGCTTCAGAAAGTGTTGTAGAATATAACTCTCTGAGAAAGGGTCAATTTTAGGTGTTTTCTGAATTTACAAACTACCACTCTTACACTAAATTGCAGCAAAAGGGTATAAGTAAAGTAATTAGATAAGCAGATAGCTAATATAGATTCTGAATAAACTTCTGTATTATAAAAAAAAAAGAGTTGTTAGGATAGATTTTGGTTTTTAGAATTTGTGCTTGTAAAATTGTTTTTTAAGTGATACATGCCATATGTGTATAATTCAAGTAAATAAGGTGAAGACTCATTACTAAGATTATGTACTATAAGTTTTTGGGTTAACATAATAAAAAATGAAGCTGTTTGTATCAGTAATATAGATTTTTAGGTGATTTTTGTGTTGAATAAATTTAGAGATGTAAAAGCTTTTTTATTTACATAGAAATTTTGCTTATTTAAATTATGATCTTTTTTTTTGAAGTTTCACCTATATTATTAATTTGTTATTTTCCATTAAATGTTATAACTAAAATGCTCAGAAATACTTTTACAGAGACTGATCCTGTATTTGTCTATGGCTGCATTTTTATCAAGTGTTGGATATCTATTTGTAAGTAAATTTGTACATGTATTTCACAGTAATAGATAATCCAGATATCTAAAAAAAAGCATTTCATTTTTTTGTGACATTTGAAAATATATTTTTTAGAAGTGAAGAAATTCAGAAAATAACCTTGCATATTCAAATGTTGGGGTCCATTCTTGATTGAAATTAAATGGTAACTTCACAAAAATGTATTGATGTGTAATGGTACTATGTTAATTGTGCTTTCATGAAATGTAACCTTTTTTTTTTGTTAAAAATATTAAACAATAAAGATTTATTGGAAATAAAACATAGAGAAAAAGAGGTTTTGAAGGTTAAGTAAGTCAAAAATTGTCTGAGACAAAAATCAAGGTATCCTCAAAAGTCACAAACTCAGTTTTTGTAAACATAAATAATAAACATCAGGTGGACCTAAAATATATATCAAACTTATAAGTACAATCAAAAGCAAGTAAAATTTATAATGTAAACTAAGAAGAAGGCCAAGTTTTAGGTACTTAACACTTAATTCAAAAATTAAACAAGCAATAACATGCCAAACAAAGAAAAAAAATTGGAACTACACATAAGTTACATGGAATAAATGCATTGGTGTGTATATTATAAGAAGCAAAATACAAATGAACTGGGTCAGAAATTTAATCCGATATCTTGTTTGTCTAAATTTAGTAATAGAAGTCGGTTGAGCAACCACACCTGTGATAATTTAACTATTTACTGATGGTACCTCAACAAGTCATAAGGTGCTAAACATGTTTATAAAGCTCATGTAGTTAATAATTTAATTTTAGTATTATTTGTACATCAGACATTGCTCACTGTTGCAAGCATTTTTTTACCAGTTGCATCATTTTCTGCTTATTTCTAGTAGAGGTTAAAATAAAGTTTAGAACCATTACTACTAGGAATGTTATGCAGTGAGGAAAATGTGTGTAGTCGCTACACACAGTTGTGTATGTGAAACTTCTATAATACCTGAATGCAATGATATAAAGCCAGATACTATACATCTATAACAATAAGTAGGTATTTTTTCCAGAATACACTTTTGCATGTCAAACTTTGTTTCTTCTTAGTTGATAATCAGAAGTTTTAAGAATTGTAAGTACAGTGTTTCTAGTTTTTAAATATATATTAATATCTTTTTTATTTTACTATTTTAGGCAGGAAATTATCCCCAAAGCCCATCATGTAAATTTGAAGCTTTCTGGTTAACCTACTTTGGTAAGTTTGCAGCTCATTGTAATTAAAATACACATTTCCAGGAGAGGGAAAAAGTAATCTCATTATGATAACAATTTATTAAGGACTTCTGCTGTACATATTGCTATATTGACTCGCTAATAGCCTGTGTCTTAAACTTCTGCTGTTCTAACAGACATATACTACACATAGAGATGCTTGTATTAACACTTTTTCTGTGTACTTTTGCTGGGAATAATTTAGTACAATTTCCCTTAATTTATGTAAAACCAACATCTCTGACTTTTCACTCTTAAAAAAAGCATTATAACCAGAACTGCTCTTGGCCAATCAGCTTGAAGTTTTCCCATTAAAAAAAACAATAAAAATACCACAGTTCCCTTTGTAACAAGCTACAGTAAATGATCAATCTTAGATAACATATCTTAACATACTTTCCACAGACTTTTCCATGACTAGATTTAAAAGAGCAAAGACACAAAAGCCCATTGGAACTTTAACACAGGACTTGACAAGTATGTGGTCAGATGGAATTATTGTGGTTCCAGTTTCTTTGGCCATCTTTTTATAAAAATGGCCATTGACTTTAGGATGTGGTTAGAAGGTTGTGAATATTTGGCTTGTGAACTGTCTTCAGTTTCAAATGAGTATAAATTGTTAACAGTATTAGGAGATAAGCCTAACTTCATCATAATAGCATTTTTAGTGTTTGATGGGTCTCTTTCATAACTACCCTTTCACTTTATGAATGTGGAATCCCTTCAAATTTTCTTTGGTTGCAGTTCCAAAGCTCTGTGTTTTCCTTAATATGCTCATGAGTTATTCTGCATTCATTGAAAATATTGAATGCTCCCTTCATTGAAATGTTGTGTTATTTGATAACTTCATTATGAACTAACCTTCTTAGAAAAAGATGTACATTTACCTACAGCTATAAATCTACTTATGGTGACAGAGAACTGTCAAATAGTCAGGAATTCTCTATGAATAAAATATAAACCTGGAAAAAAGTTAAGCACCCCCGTGTTTTTTTCAAGTGATTCAGATTTGACGTTCTTGTGACTAATTATAAATTACCATTCAATCTAAACGTGTTTATCAAATGAAATTATGCATTATTGGGCACAAGAAAACAAGATTATCACCGTAAAATAACAATTTTTAATTTACATA